AGTAAAGTACAGATACCCAAAAAATTCTACTTAAGTACAGTAACAAAGTATTTGTACTTAGTTACTTTACAGCTCTGAAAGCAAATAAATAACATACATGTCAATTTGTACAGATTATCTGTAAGTTATAAGTATTTTACGTCATTTTGCAGGTATACAGACGTATAGAGCAATCTCACGGATTTTTTCAAAACCTCATTTTCAAATTCATCTAACATGTCAGAGCCTGTAGGATGATTTAAAAAACAATAAATAACATTAAATAGCTATCTTTCAACCTGTTCTGCCACTAGAAATGTTTTGAACTTTTTCCGCTCTCCTTTCCTCCTGCTTCACATGGATTTTTTTTCTAAATTTACGGATTTTTGAGGCTTTTTATCAGGTAAACGTCCGAAGAGTTTGACATGTATGGGACAACAAAATACAGACTTGTTGTTATTGAGTTTGTCAACACGAACCGAAGAGTTACAACCAGGGATTTACAAATAATTACTTTTATCTTCTGCAGTTCGGTGCCCCCTCCAGCAGATGGCGCTCTAGGCGACCACCTAGTTCGCCTATGCCAAGAGCCGGCTGTGACCTCAACGTCTGCCACCCAGCTCTGAAGAAAACAAACAAAAATTAAAATATTAAAATAATAAAACGGTTCAAATGTTGAAATTTAAAACTGAACATTTTGTAGAAAAACAATCAGGTCATTTTAAACTTGATGGCAGCAAAATGTGTTTTATTTAAATTTTTTAACTCGTATTTTAGCTTCAGTTTTAAAAGGATCAAAATGGAAAGAAAACAAAGTTTTGACCCATCAGAACCGGGTCCAGATGGATGCGGTTCTGTCTGCGGTGTGTTTGTGTGTGGGGTTCTAACCGGCGGTCTCTCCCTCTGATCCACAGCCCTGAACGAGCCCACCATTGACTACGGCTTCCAGAGGTTACAGAAGGTCATCCCTCGCCACCCCGGAGACCCCGAGAGGTTACCTAAGGTCAGTGGAGACAGAGGTCAAAGGTCGGGCCAGAACCAGCAGGTTGGACCCTGTTACACCTGTCAGTCGTAGACCACCTGAGGATCTGGATCTGTCGGTTCTGTTTGGTGCTAGATGGTTCTGAAGCAGCTGGTTCTGGGTCCAGTGGGTCTTAAAGGTCAGGACATYAATCTGAGGCGTTCACTGACTGCAGGAAATCTGTGTTTTTATTTTCATGTTAACAGTTTACAAGGAAAATACATCAGAACCTTTTTCAATCAGGATCAGAACCTGTTTCAATCAGGACCAGAACCAGAGATCTGGCTCAGGTTCTGGAGTCTAAAAGGCTCTAACTCATTAAAACCGTCCAAGCCCCCCACAGACCACCATGTTTAGTTTCAGGGGTCTAAACTCATTGATCTGTTTGAGCTGCAGCAGGAAGTTGTACTGATCGGCTGTTTTCACATCATTAACATTATTTAGACACTCAGAGGTCAAAGGTCACACAGCTCACAGTTTCCTGTTCAAACAGGAAGTGAGGCGTGTCATTAAAGGATCCATGATTAGTTGAAACATTAGACTTTATTTGATAAACATATATTTTAACTGTAAAATAAAGACTGTAAAAAT